GGCCAGTATTTCACGAAGATTCACTGTGGGCATCCACTTCTTTGGCGCTCATGACAGCCCTGCCAAGGAGATGTGTTAGACCCATTCTACAGGCGGGGACTCTGAGCCCCAGATGGGGGTGAACTTGCTGGTCTGAAACCCTGCAGTGAGCAGGTGACAGACTTGGGGCTGATCGGGGTGCCTCAGTGACCTATCTTGTCTCCAGATCAACCCTGCACTTCCTCTGAGGCCCCATCGGGCCCCATCCAGGCCCCCTGGGTGACAGGGCCAGACTGGCCTGTCTTCCTTCCACCATTCATTAATGCATGATGGCCATGGGGTGTGCTTTTGGTTTTCACCTTTTCTACTTTCTTTTCTATTGTAAGTATTTAAACAAAAGTAAAATTGCCATTTTTTTCATCCTCATGGGCTTTCTTTACAAAGCCAGTCTTGGCCTTGAGACCCAGAGCTGGAAAGAGCTGATGGTCTGATGGAGACAGAAATGCTGACAGTCACCCAGGGCCTCAGGATCATGGCTGAGGGACACACACGGTGTGCAGAGCTCCAGGGAGGGAGCAGCACCTCTCTGCCTTCCTTTCACCTCAGGAATTGAGGAAGGTTATTGGAGGTAATGACTTTGAGGTGGACCATGAAGGAGGGGGCACACAGGAGAGACCCTAGATGACTTTATTGTAGAATACTGTGAGGGTCTCCCTGGTCAAAGGCATGAACCAAGGTGCAGAGGCCTGAACAGCAAGAGGCTGTGGTAGGATCAGGAGCAGTAGGACATGAGCTGGCTGCTGATGACGAAGGCCTGTGAGTGCTGGGTGAGGAGCTGGGACTTGGGCACAGAGTACTTGGGAGCAGGAGGATGAGGATGGTGGATGACTTGGGGGATAGGCTGGAGGCTGGGAAACCAGTAAGAAGGCTCCTGCAAGGATCCAGGAGAGAACGGAGGGCACGCGGGATACAGGGCTGCTTGGTCCTTCCAAGGCTGTGGGTAAATGGAGGCGCAAGTGGCTTGGGCATCTCCCCAGGAAACCGAAGCCTGTGTCGTGCCTCCAAAAGGGGAGTGAAGGAAATGAGGAAATGAGAGGGCTGCAGACTGACTCGAGAAGGCAGGTAGAGGAGACAGACCCTGCTTGGAGGGCAGAGCTATGTCAGGGATCATTAGTGCCTAAGTTTGTCCCTCCAGCCCCTGACTTTGGCTTAGTGCCCCCTCCCTAAGCAGGGATAGGGCATGACCTAGCAACCACAGCTGCATGCCAGGCAGAGAAGCCTGAGGCCAGCTAGCTCTGGCAAACAGTAGGGAGCCCAGCCTGTGCCAAGCCTCTCTGCCTCCCAGCCACTGCTGCCTCCTATCTGCAGCACCAGCTGGGGCTAAGGGCCAGGAGGGGCTTCCTCCTCAGCTGGGCACTTCCAGCTGCTGGGCCAGCTGCTGGGCCTGGTGTGACTCGCCTGGCCTCCAGCTGCCTACCCAGCTCGGTGCAGGGACTGAGCTCAGGAATGGCTCCTTAGGCCCGTTTTTTCTCATTGGCTGCCAGGCCCCTGGAGCTTCTCTAAATATTATTCTTAGGGGATTTGGGTCCAGCCTCTTGCAGGCTGCGGCCTCCACATCCTGGAAGACTTGGCGTTCTTGCTGTGCCCTTCCCCTAGTCACGCTCAGCACTGAACCTGGGGTCCTGACTCTGGGGAGGGGGACGATTCCTTTACCAAATCCTTGGGAAGGTTCTGGAGCCAGGCAGTCCTGGACAGTCCCTTTTTGCAGGCATGTGGACTGGCTCTTGGACCTGCAGGGCTCCTGAATCTCATGTGCAGCAGAGATGCAGATCATCCCTGCATCTGGGGGTCTCGAGGGCTCATCCTAATACCAGTAACGGGGAGGGGTAGGTTGGCTTCTCCCAGAGTATGGAAGGATGGAAGCAAGATGTCAGAATGGAAGGCCTCCTTTCAGCCTGCTTGCTCCTTCCCCTCAATGGGATATACAAGAAAATGGGGCCAAGGGTGGAAAGGACTTGCCCAAGGACGCACAGTCAGTAAGGGAGTCACTCCCTCCTTTGTATTTCCAGAGCGTCCCCTTGGTGCCTGCCCTGTGCAGGTTGTGAAGGGCTCCCAGTGAATTAGACTCGGTGTCTGCGTCTCCCCAGTTCTCTTAATGTTTTAGTTCACAGAGGTGTCCTCCACTGAGCACAGAACTGGGCTGGGGCGAAAGCATGTGAGATTGTAGACCAAAGAAAAACCTTCCTGTTTGAGTCGTTTTCAGAGGTCTGGCTGTAGTGGGGAATGGTGATCCCTCTGGAGTCCTAGTTTTGTTTATTCAAGATTTTCAAGGTTCATCTTGAAGGAACAGCGAGGAATCTGCCTCACCTGGGGAGGCAGGGGAAGAGAGGGGGAGGAGGCTCTGCAACCTGAAAGCAGTAGGGCTTGGGTGAGTCTTCTGCCATCTCTGGCCTCTGCACCTTGTGTTCGCATTGTACCGTAGGGAGGCTGCTGCCCCTCCTGTGGACTGTGGGACTGTGAACAAGGGGTAATATGTAAGGTCACAGACTTGGTGGGCTAGAGCCCTGGCTTTCTTGACCTGACGGTGACAGTCCAGCCATGGGCAGGCAGCACCTCGTCTCCTCTCCAACCAGCCTCATACCTGGGGCCCCAGTGGCAGCTGCTGTCCTTGTTGGGGAGAAGTTTTCCTACCCTGGGGCAGCTGGTGTTTATGGAAAGAACATGGAGGAGGGAGGGAAGCCTGGACAGCTGGGATGGGAGGAGGAGGCTCAGCTCCACATCCAACCTTCATTGGCAGCAGAGGGATATGGGCAGCTGTGGCAGCGTCTAGGGATACAGCTCTTCCGTCTGCTGGAGCAGAACTCCAGGGCTATAGCAGGGGGCCTTCCAGCTAGACCTCAGAGCACATTGATGAGGCCTGGGATGACAAGGGTTCTCTGGCCTAGCCGGAGTGGTTCACCTCCTCACATCATTTTATTAATTCCACAAACACTTGTTAAGCTCTAGATCCAAATCTGGATGCCCCTAGTGTCTGGATGTCTCCAGGACCTAGACTGAGCCCTGCAGTGTGCATAGCCCATGTGGCGAGTCAGAGAAGCCGTGGCCCCTTCTCATGGATGCTTATCATGGAAAAGGCCTGGAGCCAGGCCAGGGGGAGCAAGAGTGGCCTTTCAGGGGACTCTTTCCTGGGGAGGCAAGGAGTGGGCTCAGCTGGAAGGGCTAGGTGGTTTTGGAGGACATTTGCTGGGGAGGGGCAGCAGCAGCCTGGGTAAAGGATGAAGTGCTGCCAGCTTTAGGGCCAAGAGAGGAGCTGCCATGGAATTAAATTATTTTCTTATTCATGATACAACATAAATGTGCACATGAGAGAGGGACAGTGAGAGGAAGAAAGACAGAGAGGTGCACCCTCCACAGGGTCTTTTTGTCCAGCCTTTTCCCCATTGAACTTTCCCCCCTACACCCTGGTTGTTGCACACAGATGCCATTGTGGGGTTGTGGGGTGTTGCCACGGCTTAAGCAAAACTATTTGCATAATTCTTGCAATTCTTGCTTGCACATCTGTTGTGTTGGGGGTGGTGCTGGTACCGGGGTCCCTCTCCTGCTCCCAGGCCAAACCCAATGCTATGAAGTGAGGATGCAGACTGGGGGGCCAGACCTTGTCCAGGGCATGCCCTCTGGTTAGAGAACTCAGATATCACCAAATGATTCAACCAGGCTGCTCTCGCTTTCTGCTACCCTCTTGACCCCCAATAATCTGTTGTACAAAGATGTTGTTCCCTGTGATGTTGGCTGTGAGCCCAGATAAGGAAATGTTTGCAGAAGGGAGCCTGGCATGTTCTGTGCACAGCAGAGAAGGAGCCTTCTGCTGGGAGCCAGGAGTCCTGGGTCTGCCCAGCTCTGTTCTGTGCCCTTGGCCAAGTTGCCACTTCTCCCTGAGCCTGGGGGAGACTGTACAGGAGAGTTGCGACGCGGGCCTGAAATGAACTCCAGAGTCTCCAACTCTGCTGTTGAAACACTGAGGCAGGGCAGATCTGAGCAAGGAAGGAATGGTCAGAGGGATCTGAATTAGATGCACAGAGGGTCTTCCTGTGGGGATTCTCCAGGAGGCCAGAAGGTGGAAGCCAGAGTCTGCTCATTCCTCAGGAGATTATTCCAGCCACTCTCTGCTGTCTTCTTGGTCCCTGAGCTGCCCCAGCATCTTAGAGCCCAGATCCCACCTGACTTGGCCAACTCTGGTCCAGGAACTACTGGACTTGGCCAAGTACCAGGAACCAGGGAGGGGGGATGAGGCAGTTGAGAGTCCAGAGGCCCCCCTCCTCTCTCAAATCCACACTTTGTCCCCAGGGTTCTGGAAAACCTCCTCCTGGAATTTGATTGCTGAGTCAGTGAGGATGGAGTAGAAGTGAAGGAATGGGCATTTGGTCTGCTGTGACTCGATGCGTGACCTGTCTGGTTTTTCCTTTCTCTTACCTCAGTTTCCCCATCTGCAAAGTGAATGTTGTGATACCTGCGCTTCCTTCTCTTCTGCAGAAGTAGAGGGATGGTGGGAGATCTCATTTTCTTAATATCTAGGTGCTCAGAGCCAGGGGGCTGACCTGTGAGAAAGCCCTCACCATCCTTGTCCCTTTTTTGAACTCCACACTGGGCTCTGCTGAGGCAGGAAGTGAGCGCTCTAGAAGCCTGTGGCTGCAGTGTCTTATCAGTGGTTTCTAGCCTTCAGTGTCACAGCCTGGGGTCTGGACTCTTCCCCCGTCCCTGTTTGGTGGCAGCGGGGAGGGAGGGGGACTTCCCTTGTGGGGCTGATGTAGACTAGGCGGGAGATCCAGGCCAGAAAACAGCAAGACGGGGGGATTTATGTCCATAATTGAGTGAACAGGAAGGGCCCTTAAAGGGACTCCAAAATCCAGAGAGGGGTAACCCAGTGACTTAGGATAGACCTGCGACTTGAGAACTCGTCTCTCACTCCCCAATCAGGAATTGGATGAGGGTCAGGAGGTGACACTAGCAGTATGGTCTCTGACCCCCCGTTTCTCACCCACAGTGAACCCATGCTGTTACTATCCCTGCCAGCACCAGGGTGTCTGTGTCCGCTTCGGCCTTGACCGCTACCAGTGTGACTGCACCCGCACGGGCTATTCCGGCCCCAACTGCACCGTCCGTGAGCCCACCTTCAGCCCTACTCCTTCCCTCCTGGGCCTGCCTGCTCTCTGGGGCTCCTTCTTCCAGACCCCCACTCCAGCCCATGTCTCAGGCCATGGCCCCATTCTTATGCCTTGCAGGGCTCTGATGCCTGCCCTGACCTGGCTCCACCATGAGTTCTTGTTCCTGGTCCACCCTCACTTTTTGGCCCCGAGCTCTGTGATCTGTGGCCCCCATATTCCCTGACTCTGGCCCCCATCCTCACATCTGGTTCTAGCTCTGTCATGTGTCATCATTCCCCAGGGTCCACCTTTACCCCTGTGCATAGGTACTACCCTGTTCCATCCTGGCCCTTGTCCCATCCACATTTACCCTGGCTACTGCTGGACTCGTCAGGAGAGCCCAGCTGAGTGTGTCTCCCTGCCCCTGCAGCGGAGCTGTGGACCTGGCTCCGGAATTCCCTGCGGCCCAGCCCCTCTTTCTTCCACTTCCTGCTCACACACGGGCGCTGGTTCTGGGAGTTCGTCAATGCCAGCTTCATCAGAGACATGCTCATGCGCCTGGTCCTCACAGGTAGGTGTGGGGCAAGGCCTCCCTCATCTGGGGGAGCAAGGAATTATGCCAATTCTTGGGATTCTTGGCATCTGGTAAAGGCAGATTAAACAAGCCCCAACCCAAGAAGAGTTTGTGGATTTAACTGGGGGTACATACACCCTCGTCACCATTGTTTCTGCTCTCTGCAGTACGCTCCAACCTCATCCCCAGTCCCCCCACCTACAACTCAGCACACGACTACATCAGCTGGGAGGCCTTCTCCAACGTGAGCTACTACACTCGGATTCTGCCCTCCGTGCCCAAAGACTGCCCCACGCCCATGGGAACCAAAGGTATTGGAGATGTGGTGAGGAGCCGGGCTTGGGGATCACAGGAAGTGTTCGGATCTCCTCTTTGGGAAAAAAATAGGCAGAAGAGCAATTGTTAACCCATTTCATGGATGTGTGGGCCAAGGCAAGATTTGTAGAACCAGGGATCTGACAGGAAAGGGCAGCAAAGGATGTTGTCTGAGGTCCCCTGGAAAAACAATGGCAGAGCGGGACTAGTGGTTTCATACTCTTGGGGTACCTCTGCTTGTATACTGATGAATGGGACCCTGCTAGGGTGGAAGGGCTTTAAAACTTGAAGCATAAGAAGGAAGGAATAGTGTACTATTTGTTGAAGGTTAACTCTGGTTGTTTACTAATATAAGTAGTTTTACATGCTTCTCTAATTTAGGGTATACAGTTTTTCTTTGATTACCTGAGAACTTATTTGCTCTCAGTGGCAGGATTCTTCCTCCGGAGGCCTTCCTGCTCCACCCCTTATTGTTCAAAAGTCTTAGTCCAGAAACATTAACTCATCCTCAAGTACAGAAAGGACAAGAGCTGCCCCTCAGTCCATCACTTTGTCCCTTACTTTGTTCCTGCCACATGATGTCGCTGTTGAGCAGTGGCCCCGTGCAGCGCCATGGTGGTGTGTGCTTTGGTGTCCCTGCTTGGGTCTATAGGGCACTCTGAAGGTTTCACTACAATTAGATACTAGTCCCCAAAGCGTGACCATTCTTCCAGGATAACTGGCCTGGGTCTTGTCGGTATTTGGCTGGAATTAATCCTTGTTCAATGTCAATGAGTGATGATTCCAAACCATGGGGTACAGGCCAGTCCCTTTAACTTCTCATTGACGAGTTCCCTTAGGAGCACTTGATATCTTTTCCTGTCACAGGAATCCAAGTGGCTGTCAATCCAAAGAGTTTCTATTGATCTTGAACCTTCAACATTAGGCTTTACATGAGGTATTGTGAGGGATGCTTTTGCCAGAACACAGAAATAATATTTTTTATTTTTTATTTTTTAGATTTTTTTTAGTTTATCTATTTATTTTATACATTCAATCACTGTACATTACAACTTATAAAATGAATCTTCTCAGCATAATACTGTATTTTAGTACAGTTAAAGATATTTTCATACACGTTATCATCAACAGATAACTTCCATTTTTGTGTCCTTTAATTGTTTTGCTTTTTTCCTTCCTTCCTTCCTTCTTTCCTTCTTTCTTTCCTTCTTTCTTTTCTCCCTCTCTCTCTCTTTCTGTCTCTTTCTTTTTTCTTTCTCTTATTTTTTTTCTTGCTATGGGAAATGTGTGTTTGTTGGAAAGAGACAGAGAGCCATCAAGTAAGAAATCACCTCCTAGGGGGAATGGTCATACTGTAATCCTTTCTCCTTCATTCTCCTCTCAGGATTTTCTTCACATTCACCTGGCATAGGCCTCCAGGTCTAGGACTCGAACAGTGGAGTTGGCCATGTAGGAGTCCAGTGCATTAACCACCATAGCACCTGCTGGCCCCGAACACAGAAATATTCTATTATTCCTTTCTTTGAGGGTATTGGGTGCCAATGTAACTGACACTGACTTAGGGTGGAAGGCCTTCTTGTAATGATGATTTATCTCTACCCTAGACATAGAAAGACTAACACCATTTAAAATAGGTTGGCAAACTGCTCCCCACAGGCCAAATCCAGCCCCATCCTGTTTCTGTAAGTGAAGTCTTGTTGGAACACAAGCATACTCACTTGTTCATGCATTGTCTGTGCTGTTTTCCTGTTGTAGCAGCAAAACTGGATGGATGCAACAGAGGCCATGTGACCTGAAAGCCTAAAATATTTGCCATCTGCCTTTTCCCAAAAGAGGTTCATTTACCCTTGATTTAGAAGGGTCTACCTCATCAGTTTTCTGTCATACTTACAATATCTCATGCAGTTGTCAAATACACCCGATAAAATAGGTGTCATTTCCCCTATTTTCAAAATGAAGAAAGCGAGAGTCAGAGAGAGATGGCTTATCTGTGTCACACTGTTACAAAATGGCATAACCAGCAGCAGATACAGGCTACCTTGCCTCTGGGCTATGGTATATAGTTTTTTCCTTTTCAGTTAATACTTTGATTATGGAAAATTGTCAGTATACATAGAAGTTGAGAGAAAAGTGTAATGAGCTATGTTCCCATCTCCCAGTTCCAACACTGACCACAATTTGCCAATCTTATTTCATCTATCCACTTTTCTTTTTTAATGGAGTATTTTAAAGCAGATTCCAAATATTATGTATTTCACCCATAAATGCTTCTAAGATCTTTGGTAGAGATGGTCAGGGTGGGCTTGGGGGAGGTAGCCCTGAGGAGGCTGCTGTGAGCTCCCTACTGGGCTGGTTTGCCTGCTGGGCCCAGAAGTTCCCAGAGTGGCAAGATCCAGATGGGAGGCAGCCATTTCTCTTTCCTCCCTCTCCAACTAGGGAAGAAGCAGTTGCCAGATGCCCAGCTGCTGGGCCAACGCTTCCTGCTCAGGAGGAAGTTCATACCCGACCCCCAGGGCACCAACCTCATGTTTGCCTTCTTTGCACAACACTTCACCCACCAGTTCTTCAAAACTTCTGGCAAGATGGGTCCTGGCTTCACCAAGGCCTTGGGCCATGGCGTGAGTAACTAGGAGGGGCTCACGACTGCTCTGGACCTAACATACAGGTTATGGCTCTTGGGGTGGAATCCACATGAACCGAGTGGACCTCTCTCTGTCCTCTGTCCTCAGGTAGACCTTGGCCACATTTATGGAGACAGTCTGGAACGTCAGTATCAGCTGCGACTCTTTAAGGATGGGAAACTCAAGTATCAGGTAGTCCTGGACCTGGGGATGGAGCAGTGGGAAGGGCCCCATATGGTCTTTCAGGCAAAGGCTCATGGGGAGGGGCGATGAAGGGTCATATCCCGAGGGCTGGAAGTATGTGTGGGAGGAGAGGCTGGTAAACTCTGGGGGATGGTGCCAGGTCTAGGGAGCAAATGAAGAGCAAACATGGCCTCCTGGGAGGTGGATTTTGGAGCTCAGTAGGAGATAGGCATTTGCAGTGTGCATTTTTTTCATTTAATTAGTCCACAATATTAAGTGAGCACTATAATGTGCCTGGCACAGGTGACTGAGCAGTGACCATCACAGTTATGGGCCCTACCCCCCCATGAGCCATAGTCCATGAGAAGCCACAGAGATAATCATTAGGCTGCAGTTCCATGAGAACTTTTTTGTCTAAACCAGCACCGTCCAATAGAAATAGAATATGAGCCACATATGTAATTAAAATTTTCTCTTTTTTTAGAGAGATTTTTGCTATTAGGCTGTAGTTCTATGAGAACTTTTTGTCTAAACCAGCACTGTCCAATAGAAATAGAATATGAGCCACATATGTAATTAAAATTTTCTCTTTTTTTAGAGAGATTTTTGCTATAGGGTGCGTGAGTTCACTGGAGAGACAGAGAGAAACAGAGACAGAAAACGAGAAATCATCCCTTGGGGGAGATGGCTGTGCTGCAATCCCTTCTCCTCTGTTTTTTGCTCAGAATCTTGGGCATACACAAACACACACATACACACACACACACACACACACACACACACGCCTGGTATGAGTTTCAAGTTGTTGGGTATGGGATTCAAACCCCTGCTAACTACATCGGAGTCCAGCGATGTAACCATTATGCCACCTGCTGGTCCCTGTAATTAAAATTTTCTAATGACCACATTAGAAATGGTAAAATGAAACTGGTGAAATGGATTTTAGTAATATATATTTATTTAATGCAATATGTCCAAAATATTGTCATCTCAACATGCAGTCACTGCAAAATCTACTAATAAAATACCTCACTTTTTTCATACTATATCTTCAAAATCTGGTGTATATTTTATACTAATAGAACATCTCAATTTGAATGCTAAATTTTCCTTAAAGAGAGTGCTGATCTGTATTTAGAATTCATCACATTTATGGCTGAACAAGCAGTCATAGGCCCAAATTGGTCTAAGCATCTTTGAAGGTTTTTCAGTAATGGAAGTATCCATTTCAATATTTAAATCTAAATTAACTAAAATCTAATCTAAATAAAATAAATTAAATTAAATCTAGCAAGATTCAGTTTTTCGTTCACAGTAGCCAAAGTTCTAGGGCTCAGTAGCCATGTGTGGTTGTGGCTACCATATTGGATTGAACAAATCGAAGCAAACAAAACCCAAAACAAAATTTACTACAGAATCTTTAAGGCCATCAGCAGTGCTTGGTGTATAATAGTTCCTCAGTGCGTTATTTACTAAACATATGATGAGTTCCATTTGTAGTGAATGCCACCCTGGAAAAGCCGCGGGTATGACTAGAGTGTTCAGAGGATGGGGAAGGCTTCCCTAGGAAAGGTGTGAATAAACTGAGAGTTGCATGAAGGATAAGGAGGAATTAGGGAGGCTAAAGAGAGGTAAAGGCTTTCCAAAAAAGGAGTTAGCATGTGTGAAGGTGGGTAATTTGGAGGGTATAAAAGAATGGGAGTGGGGACCAGCAGTTGGCATAATGGCTATGTTGCTGGACTTCCATGTAGTCAACTGAGGTTTGAATCCCAGACCTGATGGCTTAAGCTCACACCAGGTGCAAGTGTGTGTGTGCCCAAGATCCCGAGAGGAGAATGGAGGAGAAGGGATTGTGGCATGGCCATCCCCCCTGGGGGTGATTTCTCACTTTCTGTCTCTCTGTCTCACTCTGTCTCTCTGTCTCACTCTGTCTTTCTGGTGAGCACACACGCTCTATAGCAAAAACTTCTCAAAACAAAACAAAACAAAACAAAACAAAACACACACACACACACACATAAAACAAAAAGAATGGGAGTGTTTGCTGAACCTAGGGAAGGGTGGTGATGATTTCAGGAGGCTGTGTTAAGGATTTCTGATTTCTGGCTAGAGTAGAGAGAAGACCTGGAACGATTTAAAGCCCACATGTGATACTAGATTTGGAGTTTCGAAGGATTGCTCTGGTTGCAGCGTAGACTGTGGACCATCTGGGGGGCAGAAGTGGATGTAAAAGCCTGCTTAGGGAAAGGAGTCTGGCTGGGAGAGGAGGGTAGGTTGGGTGATGGTGGTGGTAGAGCAGGGGTCTGATTTTAAGTGAGTTCTAGGAGATAGAATCAATAGCCTTGGTTGAGGAGAATATACAGCTGGAATCAAGAACAGGAGGGAGTCAGTGGTGGGCAGCTGTGGGTGCCCTGCCCCATCCCTAGGTTGCCAGGCGGCCCCATCCCACAGGTGCTGGATGGAGAGATATTCCCACCATCAGTTGAAGAGGCACCTGTATTGATGCACTATCCACGGGGCATCCCACGCCAGAGCCAGATGGCTGTGGGCCAGGAGGTGTTTGGGCTACTTCCTGGGCTCATGCTCTATGCCACACTCTGGCTGCGCGAGCACAACCGCGTGTGTGACCTGCTGAAGGCTGAGCACCCCACCTGGGATGACGAGCAGCTCTTCCAGACGACCCGCCTCATCCTCATAGGTGAGGACTCTAAGCCAGCCCTGCCCCGGATGCGTACATCTTCCATTCTGAGAAGCAGGAGTTTGGGGTCTTGGAGACAAAGAGCTGGGGCTGGAATCCTCACTCTTCTGCTATCTAGCTATGCAAATGTGGGCATAGACCTGGAGGGAAGCATGTGATGTTGTATGGATTTCTTATAATGATGAATGGGAAGACACCTAAAACATAGTAGGCCTTCAGAAACCATTGGGTCATTGGAAAAGTCATGATGCATTTTTTATGTAACTGCATTATGACTGTTCTGATGACCCACCAGATGGCTGTGACATTGAATTACTAGCTGGGAGACTCATAGCACATTTGATTATTGGCCACTCCAAACCTCAGTTTCCCCATTATACTGTGCCCAGATGCACACCTGACCCCCTAAACGTGCGCAAGGTCAAACCCCATCTTGCCCAGCCTTTGGGAATCTTCACGTCTCCTGCCCTGCGTGTATCTGCCTTTCTGGAGTTTGGTAGCTTCTAGGTGACTCAGGGACAGGATATTTTCATGTCCCCTACGGGGGCGAGTCTGCAACCTAAAATGTCAGCTGGTTTCCTGCCTGGAAGCTTAGCCCATGACACTCCTGTCCAGTGTTCTCTCTGAGTCAACAATCATCCCTCCCCCACCTCTGGGCACCACTGGGCACGGCTGGTCCCAATTATAGTGCCTGATTCACTGGAGTCTGGAAAAGTCAGGCACCAGGGATAGGAGCAGCCTGAAGAGGAAGAAAGAGGTGACTCTGAAGTCTCAGCACTGCAGAGACCTTGACCAGAGAGGGCAAATCTCTGACTAGAGGCTGCCCAGCACAGTGATCGGTGACCAAGCTGTGACTAGAGGCAGGTCTTATAGCATTGTACCTCTAGTGCTACATTTAACTTCTTGACAGTCTATGAACCAGATATGATTACCCTTGTGGGAAAGAAGAATCAGAGAGGTTAAGTAATGAGGTCACTCAGCAGAAGGAGAACTTGAATTAGGTTTGGCTGCCACCAAAATTCAGGCTGCCTCTACTCCCATCATGAGGGGGACTCTTTTCTGAGTGAAGAGCAATTATAGTCACAGTCTGTTCTGTGATGGGTGAGTATGGGGTGGGGGTTCTCTGCA